GTTTCATGAAATGCTATCAAAACCACCCAGCTTTCCAGAAAGGCCAGTTACTTACCAGATGGTAAAACCACTACAAGAGCAGGCTGATGTTATGAAATTTCAGGTAGTACAAGTGATCAGATAGTTCACGCCCAAGTAAAGCAAAGGCGGTTGGAGGCCATTAGTTTGAAGCCATTATTTCCAAGCTTACAGCACAGAAATGGTTAATCACTACTACCAGATTCAACACATTGCCTGAGAATTTTCTGCTGGACAGACAGTCCAAGAACAGCCGTGTTAGGTCGCTTCTAGCTGGTTTTAAGGCAGCAGTAGTAACTGTAGTGCAGGTGAGGTGCTGTTAGTACCTTTGTGTTTAGTAAGTTAAGTACAATAAGAGATAAAAAACCAAATATTCACTTACACGGTACAGTATTGCCCAGCCTTTCTATTAAGAAAAAAAGCTGACGTTACAACTGATACATTCAATGAAGTACCAAGTCCAGGGAATTCTTCTACCTTCCATAAGGTTAAGGAACAAGCTGGAATGTGCTTAGAGTCACATTAGCACCTGGCTGTGGCAGCAGGGAACTGAACTGGTCCTGCTCCCCCGTGGCAGTCCCTTTCTTCCCTTCCCAACCCAACTTTTTTCCAAACAGACACTGTTTTATGCCCCCTGCAGCTTTGATTACTCTCGTAGCTTACTCGTGATCAAGCTGCTCTTGTGCCAAATTTAGATTTTTAGCTCAATTCAACCCTCTTCTCTCAAAATTAGTCCCTCCTGATACATTTTACAGAGCCATCTTTACTGTTCCAACAGACTGCTTTACTAAAGAACCACCCACTTCTAATCTGGTATCAATCACCCCATCAGTCTCAATACTCTGTAGTCTTTTGAACTATTTCATTCAGGAAAGCTCAAGGAAAACCTATTTATTTTCTCTCTTTCCAGTACTTCAGTGTTGGATCAATACCATTGTCTTTTGGGCAATCTACCTGGGCCTGGTGCTTGAAAAGCCTCTTTGGCTAAGCACACACTTGGAAATTTCCATTGATGTTAAGTGCAGGTGTATAGTAACACCTTGATACATGCACTCGTGTATTTTCATTGACCTGAACTCAATGATTTATGTATGCCAGCTGTAAATTTGGTCTCAGAAATGTGATTTGAAACACTCACTTATACAGAAACAAACTGTTTAGCTGAAGTAGACAGGAGTGGGGCCTACTTGCAAAGTCTTGTAAAATATTGACGTTTCAATACCAGTAGTACTGACAGATCAACCACCTACCAATGGACCACTTGGGACACCACCAGTTGACCATGTTGCAGGTGCTACTTTTGGCTGCCAGTTGGCTCCTCCTGTTAACTTCTTCTCTCCAGCATTCCACTGAAGGTCTCCCCTAATAGAGAAGGAGACAGGCAGAGCTATTATTCACATACAGTGAAAATGAAAACCAACTGCAGTATATATTAATGTTAAGCTTGCAGCTACATTAGTTTATGGTGTATGCAGTTTAAGATATTAATAGAAAGATAAACTTCTAGTGCCACTCGGTTTCAAGGGTTGTTAGTGGTAGATACCACTACACTCTATACTGAAGTCAGTTACATGGTTATGGCCTTTGTGGTGAGAATTAAAAGAAGCTTTACTTAGTATTGACTGAAGGTAACATATTATTGCATATACCCTTGCAAAGTAGGAAGAGGGACTGCTACTGCCTATTCTACTGGGGCCAGGCAGTAGAGCTGCCTGCTAGAAGTCTTTGAAAGGTCATTTCATTGCTGGAACTCTTGCTCGGACAGCTGAAGGAGGAAAGCATTCAGTTCTGAAAAAAGTTGATAGATACAAGAGAAACAAATCATTCATAGAACAAAAGGGCTGTTGCAAAACCAGGCTTTGATAGAGGCCGCTCTATTCAGGATGAGATACACCATTCGAATGAAGGAGATTGAAGGAAGCTGAGTTTTGGGGATAGACCTCATGATGTGTTTATGCATATCCCTCCTTTTGTCTCCACAGAGGCACAACACCTTTTGAAGTACACACATCATAAACCGGTCTTGCACACAGAGTAAGACTCAGCACAGAAGTAAGCAATCAGCTAGATTAAGAAGGTACATTCAAAAATAAATGCAATGCTGTAAATATTTCTTCTTGCAAAAAGAAGCTTTTCACTGCATGGAATGAACTTCTTTTCTATTTTACAAGTATTCCAATGCCTACACGATAAGCACATCCAGCGTCTGTAAAAAGATAACAAAACTATTACATATTAGCCTAGATTACTGAGGAGAGCTATACAACTTATTATCTGGACTATTTGTTCATTTAAAGTTGTTTGGAAATCAGCTATCCAATATAAAGACAGTAATTTACAGAATTTTTTTTCTAAGACTCAGGTTAAAGCGAGCAAGTTTAAAAGCCAAGTCAGGAACATTTAACCTTAATTATTCAGTGAATCTGTATAGAATAGAATAATTTTTCCAAAATTTTTCTGAAATGATTTTTTTTTGGGAGGGGGGAACAGGCACATGGCCAATTCATTGATTCTTAATAAACACTGAAATAGACAGAAGACTATACAGCAGAGTCAAAAATTACTTTTTTTGTAAATAAAGTTGAACTTACTTTTTTGAAGTGGTACCAGAAATTCCAAGATCTGAAAATTGTAAAGAAAAAAGAAAAGTCATGTGTTTAATAAGTTAAAGCATGTCGAAGGAACAGCTCACATTTCATTGCACAGGGACTTATACAGAGTAATAAAGACTTGGCTGTCTTTATTTAGACAGCATCAGAATCCTGGCCACATCGCTCCCTTCCTTCATGACAAACTTCTGAGGAACCTGGCAGATGCCTTATGCTTGAGGAAGCCACTTTTGCTCCACAAATAGACCAAAGTAACAATATATGTGGGTCTACAAAATGCTTATTTAAGAGCAACAGAACTATTTACCATACATGACAACACTAGTTCGTGTTTCTCATTATACATATTTAAATAAAAAGCTATTTTTCACATACACATAAATCTGAATGTCACCTGGAAGTTTGGGACTGTTTTATCTGCCTATCGCTCATGGGAACTCCAAGTAGTTTCCTTAATTACTCTTTGGAAGAAGTTTTAAAGAATAGTCTTTGCACATGACCAGTAAAGGTCCTGTAAGTCACAAATTGTAGTTTGACTAATCTCTCCCCCAAACTTGGACATACCAAATGACTTGCAGAAGACGTTTCAAGTGATAAAGAGTCCTGCTGACACCTAAGGATGGTGGGTTTTTTTGAGTTCTGGGGCTACTGATCTCTAGTTATAAAGGCCCTAGCCATTTCCTGCTACAAGAAAGGGAATACTTTTCTGTTTAGGATTTCAAGAACATGTTTTGGAATGTTCCCTGAGAGAAGGTCTGTTCCTGGCTGTTGCGCACAATTCATCCCACACTTCATTTGGCTCCACAGAAGAGGAACGCAGTCGTACGTCACACCACTTGGAACCAAAATTTCTCACTTACTGCCTACTAGGTTTGCAAGAGACGAGTCAAGATCGCTTCCGAGGCCTTTGCTTGCTGCTGAAGCAGGGACTGTTGGTGTGGCTGCAGGTGCTATAGACTGGCCAGAAGGAACCATAGTTGGCATAAGAAGATCACCTAGGCCGTCAAACACTGGAAGCGAAGGGAAAGTGCGTTAGAAACAGCAGACACCGTAAAAAATTCCTTCACCGTTGCTCCAACAAGTATAGCACAGACAACCACGTCACAAGTCTTACCAAAACACAGTTTGACATTAAAAGTAATGCCAACGAGGGCATGCATGTCGTTCTATTAGACATTGAATGTACAGTAATCCTGAAAGAGCTACACCAATGAGAACTACCATGAGAGAACATGCCCAAAAGGACTTCCATTGGAGAGTTGAATCTACATAGATACAGCACCACTTCCACATGACACTGTTTCTTACAGCCATCCTTAGAGAGATGTCAGACACACACACATTTGTCAGGAGATATTCATTTAAAGGCTTTTAAAATGAACATCTTGCAGCAAACACCAGTCAGAATTACTGGGGCAAAGGCAGCCTTATACCTCGACATCTTACAGCAACAGGATTGAAAGTCTCAAGATGTTACTATTCACTTGCAAGCAGCAGGGAGTTGGGAAAACCTACTAACATCTTATGAGATCAGAAGGAACCAGAACCATCCACACTGACAGAGCTACCCTCCTTAGTCCAAGTCATCTAACTCAGAAGTTCCATTTTTTTGGATCCCTTGAAGCCAAACAGCCTGGTATATCTCATGCCAGTGTTCTATCTTCTGATCTGTATTTGAGGTACATGCTAAGTCAACAGGAAGGGGTAGCATGTGCACTGGCAAGCAACCAAATCACCAAACAGCAGTACTACTTCAACCTTTTTTTTTTTTTTTCCCCCTTGACCAGTTGCAGAACTCACCAATTTTAAGTTTGTAGCAAGGACCCAGCATGGAAAATATAGAATGGAAGAGATACAAACAAAATGATAGCAGTGATGAAAGTTTAAGCTTAGTCAGGCAAAGAACACGACCTCGGTCTCCGTTTTGTGTACCTTCAGCTGCCATGCAAGCTCAAGAACAGCTTCAACAGCAGCAAAGATGACTCGCCTATATACTTGATTTAGAGAACAGTGTTTCCCTTGCATAATTCCTGATTCATGCAATCAAGCACATGCAAGGATGATGTTCACAGTCATTTGATTTTCACTGACGTAGTAGAATAAAAAACGGAGAGCTCTTGAGCGCACACCAGCCTAAACACCACCCTGAGTTCTTCCAGTATGAGAAGGAATAGGGAAATCACTGATATCACTTGGACTCGAAGCCTAAATATAGTGTCATTAAGTCATCTAACACATAAACACATCAGAAAATGCACAGGAAGAAACCCTGTGGCTCACCTGATGCATCAAACGAGCTGCCAGTCGTTGGAGCTGTTGTCCCAAAAGCTGCATCAAAGTTCGGCTGTAGAAGGCTGGTTTGAGCGGGGGTGACTGGGGATGGTGACGGAGAGGGAGCGATAAAAGAACCTCCAAAGCCTTGAAAAAGCCACATAAGAGAGGTGTGGACATTACAGTCAGTCTTGTTAAGCTGTATTTAACAAAAACTCAATCTATAGAAGGCAGAATGATAGAGACAATTTTTCTAGACCATCGTAAATAACTCAGTACTACACAAGTACCCTTGGTATGCCAGGGAATTTAAGCTTTTGGGAGAGTTGCCAATAAAAACGTCAATGTTTGTTATTTAGATTTCTGCAGAGGCAGACCAACAGAGTAGAGAACACAATTCTTCTAGTACCAGGTGAGTAATCCCACAGGCAGGATGCAACACATGAGAATTGGTTCACAAAATAGATAAACAGAGGACTAACCTGAGAAAAGCATATGATCAGCCATCAGCTACTTTGGAATCTCAACTCATAGGGCAGTATTTTACTAATCCAGTTTAGCCTCTCTCGTCACTTTAAACCATCTTGGTCTCCCTCGTCAAGATAACTTCAAGCTGCTGCCCCCTCACACGCTCTCACACCAAAGCAGGATCAATAGCATCCACAAGTCAACTGCTTGTAGGCTGGAGAATCTCCAAGATTGAGGTTAAGCTATATATTATAAACCCATATTTATAAAATAAATAAACCCTACTCATGGAGATTCTCCTGCCTACAAGCAATGCACTCATGCTTGACTATTCTTAAAACCCTTCCCTTGCCCACTATATAATTTGAACTCCCTTGCAATTTAAGCTTATTTGTATTATCTACAGACTCTGGTAACTGATTAAATATGCAAAGACTCCGTCAGAACAAGACCAGATATACGACACCTTCTCAATTTTCTTTAGCCTACATGCCATTTGTATGGTTTATAGAATCTCCTATTCAATCTCTTCTTCACAGTGATGTCCAAGGCCTCTGTAAGACATCTGCAGTCTCTCAGTCTTGTTTTTTCCTGGCTGCTCTTGTACAGGAAGACCTGAGCTCAGTGCTCTAACCATGACTAAACAAATCCAGTGGGAACAGCACTCTGTACAACCTGCAGGCTGTATTTTTCCCACTATATCAGAATAGAAAGCATATTATTTTGCCAGAGCCAGGTACAAGACAGCAGCGAGCCAGCGCTCTACCACTGCCTTTAGTTTCTTTTCATTCAGGGAACATCCTACTTTACAGTCTATTGCCCTTCTTTGTCCAGCTAATCATTGCTTTCTGTGGACAGAAGCTAGAACATTTACTCATTTCAATTTCCTCCTTTAGATAGCTTTTTTCCAATTTGTAGAGAACGTTATAATTTGTAGAGACCTATTCTCACCCAAAGTAAATAAAGATCTCTTCATGTGGGTGAAATCTGAGAAATTAAGCATGCTACTCCAGCAGTCATATTGTTGAAATTAAGTACCAAATACTGCATATTGATTTAGAAGAGATCACCTATTAACATTAAACCTTTATCACTACTTTCTGTGTTTTTACTCAGATAGTTAGTACCATTCTTGTTTATGTAGTCAACTAATTCCTTCCTTCACCATTCATTAGTTACCAGCTCAGTGGGGAGGTCAGCTTTCTAAAAACAGCAAAATAAAGACAATTCTGGAGACTTTCTAACCACTTGTTGTTTTCCATGGTCACAAGGTATATCAATTACAGCACATATGCAAACGTCTTACAGTGACAACCACACACTTCCCAGCTATGAAATCAAGCATCTGCCAGACATTTAACTTGGAGGCCAGTGATCAATGTAAAGAACTTGTGCTCAAATTGAGCACCAGTTATATCAAATGGTACTGTGAGATCTCAGATTCTCTCCCCAAAAACTTTGCTCTCTCAGAGAAAAAAAAAAAGACTGAACACCTAACAAATGTTGGAAGAACAGGACAAATTTATGCCGGCATCAGAGTTATTTACACATCAGGCAGATGCACATTTCAGAAAGGCCAAGAAGAGACTAGCAACTTATTTGACAGCAGAACTCTTGAGACTATTACATAAAGTAAGTATACTCATCACATTATGCATATAAACACTTAGTACAAACCAAACACTCATAAACCATGAAGGACAAGCCTTCAGCCACCACGTGAAATCTGGACAATCTTAAATTCAAAAATGGATTACACTGCAGGCCATACATCTGCCATTATCTAGGGTGAACAAATGCTTAGCAATATGTTGTGATGTTTACAGACTCTCTGTATCTGCCAAATAGAGCTTCCAATCTACCTGGAGCCCTTTTGAATATACTTAAGGAAAAAAACAATTCTATTCACTCCAACTGCTTCAGGTCTGCTTGAGTATTTAGACTTATGACATCTCTTTGATAATTTAGGTTTTGATTTAATGTGACTCATCAGATTCAGAGAACATACTGCTGAATTTTAAGCCATCTGGACGACAATTCCTACTGGAATTTAAGCTTAGTTACAGATAAGGACATAAAATATTTTGTACTGTAATGTTTGCATAAGCAGGATTAGCTTCTTCCCAACAACATCTTTGCACCCAGTCCCTTGATACCGCACAGAACTGCAAATGACTGCTACATTTCAGAATCTACTAGTTAAAGCCTGATCTCCAGTATCAAGCTATGCTTAGGATAACTAATACAAAGACCTATTGAGGCAACATTAAAACAAAACCAGGCTGGGTGAGGCTTTGAGCAACCTGGTCTAGTGGGAGGTGTCCCTACCCATGGCAGAGGGGTTAGAACTCAATGATCTTGAAGGTCCCTTCCAACTCCAACCATTCTATGATTTTATGAAAAGGTCATCTTCTACCTTAAAATCTTGAAGCTGCCTGTACTAAAGCTTTAGCATGCATTTATACATTATATCCCACTTTAAGTAGCTGGCTTGCTACCTAAAATAGCACTGGAACCAATTGAGAATGGACATAAATGTTGTTATTCTCTAGACTACTTCTACCTTCTTGCTGCACAACTAGGTGATGCCCACACTTAGAGCAGGTACTAGCAAAAACGTCCTCTTCTGAGATCTGATTCTCTACAAACTTCAAACTGGGATGGGGGCAAGTCATCACTGTTTACCACAATCGCTACAGCAGGAATTTTGGAGAGTAGTTCAAACAGGATTCAGCTGAAGCTGCCTATCTGCAGCATGCAGACTAAAATGATATTTATTCAACTTTTGCAATAGGTGTCACAGTGATGCCACGTTCCGTGCCAGCAGAGACTTCATCCCACCCAGTAGGAGGAGAGGGTCTTTATCACTTCTATGCCTTTGTGCTCAGAAAAGCTCTCTCTCATTCCCCCCAGCCTCTTCGTGGCTAAATGCAAGACAGCTACCACGTCATTCATTCAAGCTCTTAACATTTCGGTGTGTAACCTGCCTCAATTAAATCAACCAGGAAACAAAGATGAATTAGCAGTAAGGAATAAGTAGCAGAGCCTGCAACAGTGCTTAACTTAAGCATTATAAATCATGGCAGTTTTAATTTAAGACATCTAAAGTACTAAGAAATCTTGTGAAAGAGGATTTTATTCCACTACAATAGCCCACTTACACCCCAGGAACATAAAAGATTTTGAAGACCTTTTCTCAGTTTTGCTTTAAAATAACAAGTTTTTTAGAAGTTCTTTATTACCAGCAAGTAGGTCTGCAGAAGCTGAGGAACTAGAAGCAGCCTGGGTTGCGGGCTGGGGTTCAGAAGCACTACTTCCAAAAGCATCTAAAGGGAATTCCAGACAGCATCAAGAGAAAGGGAAAGAGTTGAATATTAAATGCACCGATCCATCACCTATCTTAAACAAAAGATGACAAAAGGATAACCACTTAATACATCAGAAGCAAATGAATGTGCTTGGCCATCTTTATTGCAGAGCAGTACCCCAGACGCAAAGCTCAGGTGGAAAAAAGGAGGTGCAACAAACCAGCACTTCAAAGAAATCTGGTTTTCTATAGGGAAGCATAGCGCTGAAGATGAGATCAATATTAAATCAGTGAGGTTCGTGAGTCCTTTAATTGGGCCTCAGAAAATCCATACAAACCAGAGTATTACAGGTGAGAGGGTTAAGCCCTCTGGAGATGAATGCATTTGATGACAGACTGGAGAAATTCCAGCCAGAATTTGCTGACTCACATTAAGTCTTTCTAGAGGGATATGTCACTGATGCTTGAAAATCCACGATTTCTGAGCAGCATTCCTGTTCTACAACACCCCTAGAGTTGGCTTGTGCCCATCCTAATTTCCACCTTGTCAAATCCAACAAAGATCCTGGGATTCGAATATCCACTCTGAGACAAGCCACCCTCAAAACTTCAGCTGCTTTGAGAAACGGAACCGAGAGGAGAAAACAACGTGAACGTGGAGGGTTGCAAAGAAGAAAACAGCAGACACCAGGCTTTCACTGGGACCTCTGAGGAGGTGTCACACATGCACTGACAGGAGACAGAATGGCAAGTGTCATGAGGACAGAATGGCCACACCGACAGCTTATTTGCAGTTCGTTATTGGGCAACACGAAGAAGGTTAGACATGCTAGAATTAGCCATGAGGCTACACAGAAAAGCTGTGAGAAGGGGAAACCGCGGCTTTAGCCAAGCGCAAAGGTAATTGAGATGAAGTGATTCAACTCTGAAGTGGTGAGGAAAGAAAAATACCCACCACCAAATAGGTCAATCACACCTGAAGAATCCACCTTTGCCGGAGAGGCAGTGGGTAGAGGAGAGGGGGCTGCAAATGCATCCACTGCAGTAAGCATAGGATAAATAATATTTAGTATCAGCAAGGCAACAATGATAGCTAAATATTTCAAAGCCACGTGGGCTCCACCAGTTAGAACCACAGGGTCGGTAAATTCAGGTAACAACCTTCAGAACTGCAAACAGAAAGAGTTACATTTCTCACACAGCAACTGAAAACCGTAGTACCTTACAGAAAGCATTGCTTATTAAGAATTTTCTTATGCTTAGAGGAGGATTTACTCTCTCAAAAACTACATTACTTACTCAACTTCAGTGTCAGCCACTTCATGGCTTGCATCTTCAGCAGCTGCTAATCTTGTGAGCAAAGTGTCAAACCCACAATTTAGTAACTTCGTATTTCGGCTTAAAGACGTACATTTGCAATGTCTTTTTTTTTTTTTTTTAACTCTTGAGGGAAAAACAAAAACAAAACCCTAGAAGCCTGTAGGATGGTCTGTGAAGACAAGCACTCACCAGATAAGAGATCGGCGGTGAGAGAACTCTCAGGCACAGGAGAAGCTCCTTGCGGCGGCGATGAAAAAGCATCTTCCAGTAATGAAAGAAAAACCAAGAAGTTAAGTATGATCCGAGTCAGTTTACACCATTACACAGCATCAAAGCAGCAGGGTACTGGAAGAATTCTCTCTTTACCTGTACCAAAGAGATCTATGCTAGGAGTAGCATCTGGTTTGGGTGCTGCAGGTACATCGGGACCAGACTCAAATAAATCTAAGGCCAAGAACACAAGATGTCTTTAACTCATTTTTGAAAGGCAGGACTGGAAGCAGAACTTTCAAGTTTTGCACATCGTTACTTGGAGTTAAGGGGCTCTCTGGTGTGAGAGCCCAGCACACAGCATGCACGCAACAACGACATCATCGCTCGTTCCGTTTAAACTCCTGACAGACCAATCCGCCGGAATCAAAGAGTTAAAAACAAAAAATTACCACCAAAGATATCTAGGGCGGGAGGAGCGGAGGTGGTGGCGGTAGCAGAAGTGGTGGTGGCGGTGGTGGTGGTGGTGGCAGTAGCCGTAGTAGCGGTAGCAGCGGCAGCAGCAACAGCAGCAGCTGGAGAAGGAGTTGTTGCAGGAACTGGAGTGGCTGCGCTAGTTGTAGGGGTAACTACAGGAACAGCGGTCTCTGTTGGCTTCATAGCAAAGAGGTCCAGCTCAGGAGCAGCCTCTGCACTACCTTCGGATGGGGCAAAGGGGTCTTGTAAAAAGGAGAGGGGAAATACATGTGTATGCATACTTAGGACCGGCGAGGGAGGAAGTCAAGAACAAAGCAACTACAGGCAATGCACGTTCTTGCAAACACACGCGCGCCCACCGAGGAGGTCACTCCAACACCCAGCCTACTTATCCAGACACGTTAGTTATGTTTTTTCCAAAACAGACCCTCCGAAAGGCCGAGCAGTCGAGTTACTGAAGGGGAGAACTTTCAAAGGCTGTTGTTTGACAAGGCCAAGAAAGGACAGGAATACGACAAAAGAACATCCAGCTTAGCAGGTGACTGCTTACAGAACTCAGGACTGCCAGAACTGGTTATGAGCATCACCAAACAAGCACAAAGTTTGGTTATTTGCACCACCAAATAAGCACAAAGTTACTGGGTCTCGGGAACAGGCAGTTTTGTTAAGCATGCTCTTCAGTCTAAGGTTTGCTTTGACCAATCGCAAACACTATAAAAATTTCAGAAAAACACACTGCCATGTAGTTTAAACAAAAAATAAAATAAAGTAAAACAAAACCAACGAAACAGCAAAACAAGAGACTATCTAATGACATAAAACCCACCATTTCCTGAACATGCATCAAGAGCTGCGGCTACAGGGGTTGGGGTAGCTGGTGCTGCTGCCCCTTCAGCTGCTGCAGGGGCTTCCCCAGGAGAAGCTGCAAAGGCATCTTGGGTGCAGTTTAAGAACAGAAATGAAAAGGGGAAAAAAAAAAAAAAAGGATAAAGAGAAGAAAAAATATAGTAAAAGAACCAAGTTAAATTGCACAGGTAGATCCCCTTATACAACATGAATGTTGTTATTCCGACAGCAAGACAAGTCATGCAGCGCAAAACGCTTCGTCTCCCCCAACCCCACACGAGCATGGTCTAGACAGGGTTTGAAGATGGAGCTTCTCAGGAAAGAAGAAATACCCACAAGAAATACAGTAGAGTGTAAAAGGTGGCATTATTCTCATTGTATAAGGGTTCAGAGCAGCGCACTCATGTACTACCCAAAATTAACTAATGAAGAAAGAGCAGAGGTATGGCAGTAAGTTGGTGTTAATAAAGATATCAAAACTTGCATGCTCAAAGCCCATAATACACATCATTCATCTGCAACTGTAAATTTACTTGCATAGTCCTTTGAAGCAACTGTTATAAATAACAACCCAATTACACTGGCAGAGATCTGCATCTACCATTTCCAGCTTTTGAGCCAAATCAGGCATGCAACATCTGAGAAATTGGACTTACTTGTTTCTTAACAGTATCCCAATCGGATCTTTCTGAAGCCGTAACCCGATGCACAGGTTATATTTACTAAGCTTGCTTCTGACAGATCAAGAATGCTCATCTTAACTACTGGCCAGCCATGGTTTGCCTCTCTTTCTTTGAGAATCACCTCTAAGGCCAACCAGTCAAGTCAGGGAAAACAACTGTTTGGTCTTTTGGAACAACTTGCTCATGAATTTTCTTTGACTGCTTCTTTTTTTTTTTTTGTTGGCCACTTGCTAAGTATAACTTTAAATTTTAAGCTCTGAACTTTTACAGCATTATTCCTGGGCTTAGACCACCATCTGTAGCTCTTAGTTCCATGAAGTAGCCCTAATGGACAGTGCCATTTGGACTATCCTCATAGGCAAGCACTTTCTTCACAAAAAAGACTGCGCAATTAAGATTAAATACTTCAAGATGCTCATAAAGGCTATTTTTCTACTGCTACAAAGTCAGCAAGTTAAAAAAAAACAAACTGTTGGGGAATACTGCAATTGCACTGTTAAACTAGTACAGGAAAAAGCTTAACATGCTTTAACTTGAATGTCAATTTTAAAATGCACACAACCATTTTAAAAACAAGTTTGTGCCAGTTAATCTAAAAAGCTCAGAAGAACATGCATTGAAACGTCAACAGAAGAGATGAAAGCCAATTAGTCTTGTACAATAGAATCAAAATGAGTTAGTAGCAAAAACAGGCCTGCTAATAAGCCATTTCAAATACAATTCTATTTTTCAGGTAACCGGGCTCAACAACAAAACTGGATGGCAGTTGTCCGAGTAAAGAAATAGTAATTAGTCAAACATCACAGTATTGTACGTACACCAAATTCAACACAGAACTGGACTGAAGAGTTTTGAATTGTACCACTTGAGAATACACTATGTGTATGGTCACGTGTGTTGGGTTTTGCTCTACAGGGTCAGCTTTCAGATGGAGGGTCACCCTTGGCTTTTTCTAAAGAACATACTTCTAACCATACCAGCTTGTCAGCCAACAGAACAGAAGTTGGTCAACAATACTTATAATTACTTCCCAGCATGAAAGTATAGACTCCAGATATCTTATAAAGAATGTAATGCAAGAGCACAAATTGTCCAAATTCTATTATGGACAAGATGGAAATATATAATGGAAATGCAAAGCATTTCAAGACATTTCGCCTTTCTTCTACCTTTTTATTTCTTCCTCTCAGGAATGATTCCAGATGGACTTTGAGAACAGCCTTCTCTTGTTTATCTTAGAGAAAAGATAAGGAGTAATTCAAATTGGCTAAGGTAACTGAAAGCTTGCCCATTAATCAGATTGAGTTCTTCCAAAAAGCTCTGCTGGATCAACCCTGCATTTCACATCCAGTTTCTAAGACCACATTAGAGATGAAGACATAATGCAGAGCTGCTTTTCCTCCTGAAGACAAAGCTCAACCACGGGCAGCAAGTTTCTCCTATCAGCTGAAGTACCAGCGACGTAGTGCAAGAGAGTAACAGCCATCTGTCAATTCCTGCAAAGCCTCTTCTGCTTCTTCCATCCACTTGGCCACCTTTTTCCTGCAGATTTTGTCTTCTTTTTCCTACCCAGCTGCTCCCTGCAGACTCTTCACATTCTTTCTCCAGAGATCACTCCTCCTGCACCTTCCCCATCACAGCTTGCTGCCAAGGAACTGTGTAAAGCAACTGAGAACTGGCAAGCTGCAAAAAGTTAAGGTGACCCTGAAGACTGTATCTCCAGCAGACCTCAAAGGTCAAACACCTACTTATTAAGTGTCAGGCTGCCTTGCACCACCAAAGCTAGAGAGCAGCAGTGTCTGCCCAAAAACTGCAGCTTCTTGCACTCTATCATAGTCTTCAAGCAACAAGGAATGTTAGTATGGGACATCAAACACAGCAGAGGCTTCAGAAAGAAAGCAAAAAAGAAACAAAAAACCCCATAAGTAGAGAGATGGAGGTTCAATATGGACTCCACGATCTTAAATGGGGCAAGGGTGTGGGTGCTTTGAAGGCACTGCAGAAGTATCTTCACTGCTGAGTGTGTCTAGAGATATTTTTCTTCGTGAGAATTAGAGGTTTTCAATTCCAGAACTTGATGCTGTTGTAAGTAATAAAACCTTGCTTCTCCCTGATGTGTCCTAGGAAAGAGTCAGTATCCATTTAATACACGATCCACTGGAGTTTTATAGTATTTGGGCAACAAAATACATTCTCTATAAACGAAAAGATCGAGTCATGAAGTCTGGAGACTGCAAAAGTAAAATTCTTTCCGCAGTGAAGGATGGAGGCAACTCCACTTCTTAACACGTGCCACCAAGTAATCTAATGAGCAGTTAAATCTTTAGAAACTAAAAGCATCCAGCTCTTTGATGCTTTATAAATGTGGAAGTAGACACATGATTTGGTAGCAGCCATTTTTCCAGGCACAGAACATTGGAAAAAAAGGTAGAAAAAAAAAAAAAGAAGGGTACATCTTACTGCTGTAGCACTGGAAGAACAGGCAAGGGCAGATGTTTTTCTAATCCTGCTGCAAGTTTACAGTGATTTCTACCCATTTAACTATTTTTTTTTTTAAAGTCATATATCTATGCTAAATTAATAATGCAATTTGAAAGTGCTGTATCCAAGACTGGCTCGACCCCAACATCTACACACCAGAAATTTCACATGCTATGCATCTGCAGGGGTGTTAGGGACCTCGGGTCTTGGCTTCTGCAACGAGATTCTGAGAGTAACCAACATCAACTCTCTCTTGTTCCTGCTGGTGTCCAAAACCGCTGCCCATGACTATTTTAAAATAACTGCTTCTGAACTGCCTGATCCTGTGGCACTTGGACTATTATTTATCTTTGTAAAAGGAGGGATTAAGTAGCAGGTGGCAGCTGTACTCCTTTCTTAGAGCTTCTCAGCAGCTTTACTGGGGATATCTTGGAGGTATCTGTTGAAGTCAGTCCTAGACAAAACTTCTGAGAACTTTCAGTCTTTAGGAAATACCTTTGTAGTCAAACTGTTGATGTGTGAGACCGATCCAGCACCCCTGTGACTAGAAGCAATAGATGAACACACCCCCAAAGAGAATATACTGGAATTCAGTTTTGATAGCAAGTAAGTTATTGCTGATTCCTGACATCCACTGGCCAAGTGCATTATCACTGGAAGAGACAACTAGAAAAAATACAGCGGTCAGGTCATCTCAAACATGCTATGTACGTAGTTTGTAAATCAGAACATTTCTCCATGAACCCAGGCTGCTGCAGTGCTGAAAAGAAACAATAATTTCTGACATGCTGTTGCGAAGCCTCCTGCTCCATGAGAGTGACAGGAAAGCTGACAACATCCAGGTGGCAATTTATCCTTATTGAAGAGGTTAGATGCTAACATTAGAGACTGAAAGAGCGTAACTAAACTATAAGAATATGTTTCTTATACGTTAGTTGTATAGTTGGGATATGTGCATTGCCACTTTAGTTTACAGCTAATGCTATGCGAAATAAAACCCAGACTCAAGAATACTGAAATATAGTAATTTCAGCTGGCTCAATACTATATTTACAGGAAAGATCCAAAAGAAACACAAGACAGCTCAAGCGTGACATGTAATGAAAGGGCACGTCCATCCTCTCCAGTGCAATAACTATGAAAGCACAACTGCTTTCCCCAGAAATTGTAGTATAGCGCGTAGTTACTGAATAATGTGGAAAGAATACCTGCTTACCCCAGCCTGGACCTGAAAACTAACATTCTTAGCTGTTCAACCATAAGGTAGCTCAGTCTTAAGTGTATACACTCTGCCATTTCCACATATATGCAGTCTACCAGCTAAAAGCAGAGCAAAGAAAGAGGCAGTTGGACAGTTGACATCTCCTGTTCCACCCAGCATCCGACACAACACGCAGGCACCCCTGGCAGAGTTCACTTAAATTTAGCGGCCTTGTTGGAATAGCCCAACTCAACCCTGCTTCATCCACCGTACGAGCTGGGGTAGGGAACTTGCCAAGCAACCCAACTAACCTCCAAAGAGATCCACTTCAGCAGGGGCAGCAGTAACGGTGGTGGTTGTAGCGGCAGCGGCCGTAGTGGTTGGAGTATCAGTAGTTGCAGCAGGAGTTGCAGTAGGCTCTGGGGCAAACGGATCTGAGATCTGCGGCTCAGAGGTAACGCCGGAAAGCGCGGCCAGATTATCTACACGCAACCAGACGATGGAGATCAAACAAGAAAAGTCAAGGGGAGAGAGACCGCAATCACTCAAGCTCCAGAAAGCTGGAGCTTTTAATGAGTCTTAACGTTCAAAAGTCTTAGAAATCAAAAACACTACTCACCCTCTCCCAAGAGGTCTAGCGATTGTCCATTAAAATGGCAGCAGAATAAAGAAACAGACCAATTAGTAGAATTGCCAGACTGAAGATGTTCATTAGCCACGTGT